GATACTCCTAAAGGTTTGGACAAAGGCAAACCAAACACATGAAGTTGCTAAGTCTTGGGTCATGATGTTGACGATTTCTCAAAGTAAAGGGGGACTTTGACTTCAACCCATCACTTTAGGGGTGACCTTGAGAAAGGGAAACTCATGAGGCCAGAGCAATGCGGGGTCTTTCTCTCTCTCTCTCTCTCATTGAGTTGGCGCCCCCTTTCTTGGTAGGTGTGCAAGGCAAACCAAATGGACCACCAGAGTTTTTGGGGCTCCCCACAAGCAAAAGACATCCGCCCTAAACCAAAGCAAGCGGTTGTACCACAAAAACCCTCGGATCCCAAAGCGGCGAAGCGTTCCGCCGCGGAGCTTCGAGGCCTTCGAGCGCTTCGCCAAGCTCGGGGAGGCGGGCTCCGCCGCCGCGGGGAGTTTGAGAGCAAAGAGGGAAAATGGCGGAAACGCGAGGGGCCGCCATGGATTTTTTGGCGGTTAGCGAAGCCTCCGGTTCAACTTAGGTGTTTAGTTGGTTTTTTCTAGTTGTTTTTGTAGATTAGCAGTTGGATTTTCGAATTTGTCCCACTAGAAGTTAAACTCATTTTTAGCAGAGGATCAGGAAACGGACAGCCCAGCAACATGGTGACCCTCTAAAGATCTTGCGGTCCCACATGTGGTTCCCTGGGCTTGTGTGCATGTTAGCGAGCGAGCTTGACCGTCGATCCTGTTTTTAGCAAGAAGGGGAACTAGGGACCAAAAGGAGGAAAAGGGATTGCAAAGGAAACCCAAAGAAAGACCTTTTTTGAATGCCCCCTTCTTTTGGGGGGGAACCACCAAGCATTTTCGAGGATATTCCAAGGACCCAAGGACTTAAATTCATCAGCCACCTGGAGTGGTGATTGAAGGCAAGCTCCATGCAAACTCGCCTCCGTTTGGTTTCAAGGGAAACCAAGGAGAAACCCTTGACACGAGGATTTGCGGACGCGTCAAAAGGGTGTCGGCCACTGCGCTTGGTCCGGGACTCAACGATGTTCGGGCTTTCCTTTGTTTCCTCGCGATTCCCGGCGAATCGTCGGGAACCTAAATTTCACGAGACGGCCGTGCCGGCCAATCCTTCGATGCTCCGAGGTTCTTTGATTGAGAGGAAGCCCAAAAAACACCACCGGTCCACTCCGCATCCTTCAGATAGAAGCCAAGGAAGACCTCAACCCCGAAACGCTCTAACTTTCAAAGTCCCTAACCCCGTAAAATTCCAAACGGAGCCCACTGGGGGCAGTATTGTTGTCAAAATCAGAAAATGGGGTTGTTTCCCTTTAACCCAACACCTAGGGGGTGACTTTGATCATGGTAAAGTAATGAGGCCAGACCCAACTTTCCCAAGATTCGCAGGCCCTGGGCTTCGGTCCCAACGCGAAGGCCAAATGAGGCGCCGGGGCGCTTTATCGCCCTGAAGGACGCTTTACTGACAGGGGCCCCGGTTCCCATCCGCATGTCCCCTACCAACCAACACGGGAGGGGGACCATGATAAAAAGACACGCGTCTTTTGCTTGAATTCGAACACCGTTGAAAGTGAGTTTCTAGGGGTGGGATGATGTCTCTTCAAAGCAGCTCACTGCGGATTCAACTAGATTGAGGGTTCCTTTTTTGGCGGCAACTCCTTTCGGGAAAAGGAAGGACGTTTTGAAACGAAAGGGTGGAGCGTTTTGTTTTTCATTTGGTAGCCCATTTGTCCACTGGCCCCTCAGGCCTTTCCTGTTTTTGCTTCTTTTTTTTATGATGTTCCGTTTCACGCGCGAACTTCGTGGGAATTTCGATTTAGACTTCATTTTTCACAAGAAACGAGTGTCAACTCCGGCACGGGTACAGACCCAGCGAGAACCCCACGCCAGGCACGCCTGGTGAAAGGCGATCTCTTCACGGCTCGACTCAAAAGGAGAGCCACGGATCTGCACGGATGGGATTGGGTCAGATCGTCGCAGAGATGGCCCGGGCGTTTTTTGTTTTTATTATTATTATTAGCCCTAAGGCTCGTGGCCCCTACAATGCAGCGCGTATTTTTGTGTTTTGTGCAACCGGACCCAATCCCCAGCTTTTCGACTCCGCCCTCGGAGTCACCGGTTTTGCGGAGCATTCGCGCGAGGCCCTCACTGCTCAGAACCATTCCGTAGAGTTCCCAAGCTGGGTGTCAAGCAAGAGCCACCCATGTTGAATATGGTTGTTGTTGGGAAACGTCGGAAACATTTTTGCTTATTGTGGTTCAGTGGTTGAAATCCAACCACTTGCTAAATTTCAATTTGTTGCTCCCCAAACCCAACGTCAACCAAGTGAAGGTCCTTCGAAACGTTCCCTTTCCTTTTTTGTATTTTGAGCCTTCAACCGGGGCCTTTCGAAAGGAGAAGCAAGTGGCTTAGCGCCACAGCATGCCAATTATCGGGTATGCTATTCTGCATGCATGTGACATGGAGTTCGGAGAGGACATTGATCCATCAAGCTTTTTGAGGATATCTTGTTCTGCACACATGTGTTTGAGAGACTTGGAGGCAGGTCGTAGTTTGTTACCAGGCCATGGACATACGGCAACAGCCACACGTCAAGCATGCTGGCCCGAGTTTGCTCTCAGGCGGAAACCTAAATTTCCTTCTGATCAGGCAAACCCTTAGTTGTTGCGTTGGCTTGCGAAACAAAAAGCCACTTTCTGACCCCCAAACCACCAATCCAAACCACCAATAGGGTGGAGCTGAATGGGCTGAAGCGGTCAGTGCACAGTTCCTTTCCACAGTCGCGATGCCGATGCCCCTTGTGCATCCGTTTTCGAGCTCGAAGCTCCTTTCTCGGTATCTCTGAAAAGGGACCGCGGCCTGAGGGAACATACTTTACATGGGGCTTTATGTCCACCCATGTTTGAGGCTGCGTTCGCAAACTTGTGTGTGTGCGCGCGCCGTTTGTTGAGATTTGTTCCACACCTTGGATTTTGACGGGTCACCAAAAGAGAGGAGCTCGCTGTTGCACAAATGCTCAACCTGGTGGTTCGTTTTCCGACTAAACGGAGAACAAGAAAACATCACTGCAAGCTAAAATAGGAATTGCTGGTCTGTTGTACTTAACCAAAACTGAAATGGTGAAATGGCTGTGGCTCAAGAACATGTACCAAAATGACAGCTTGGCAAATGGACCCACAGACTGAACCTTGCATAACCCATAGCTCTTCGAATTTGAGCCGCGTCCAAATGAATTGCCCACAGCTAAGCCAAAAGTCAAGAGGCGTTGGGACCAAAAGACAATGTTTTGAGCGTTTCGCGCTGAACCTGAGGACTGGTGCGGATTACACTCCCATATCACAGGACATGAAAACAAAATGAAGCTAACCTTTGCGGTTCCCATCCGTCTCTTAGGATTATTTTTTGTTAAGGCTTGAGTGGTTGGGTGTCCATTTAACCCCTTCACTTTTAGCAGGGGATCGGAAAGCGGACAGCCCAGTAACCCGACTCTCAAGCCATGATTGTTGTTGGGAAACACTTTACATTTTTGCTTTTTGTGACATCGTGGTTTAGTGGCTGACATCCAACCAGTTAACTGCTAGAATGTAAATTCTCGCTCCCCTTACTACGTCGACCAAGAAGCCTGATGCTGGCGGATTTGCGAAGGATCCGGGCAAACAGTTCCCTCCGTAGGGACCAAGTGATCCCCAAGCGATGCCCCTCAGGTAGGCCCTTAGCAAAGTCGCTCAGATCACAAGAGGGGGGTCTCATGTTAGGCTTTGTTTAGGGACATGCCAACTTTTTTAGCTCCGTTTCATTGATTTGGGTGTGGGTCAAAATTAATCCACCAGGGGACCGCAGGTTTCCATTTACTAGATTTCCATTTTGGGTAGCTATTTTTGACCCACAGCCATTTATGCGTTTCTGAAATTGTCTGAAGCAGTTGGTAGCTAAGGGCCTTTTCCAGTCGTTCTTTTCTGAGAACCTGGAAGTGATCGGCACCCTTGTGGTTTGCTGCCAGGGTATACGTACTTATCCACCAGCTTGACGCGTCTGCAAAAAAACAAACCGACCCATGACGATGGTCGTTTGCTCAGGGCACACCTTAAATCCAGCTTTTGAATCAGAGTACTTTGCCCAGACTTTGTGGTTTCAGCAGCTCTTACAAAGACTCGTTTCTGTGTCAAGGGAATCCAGCATTCATCAAACCCTTGTTGATGAACGCTCGGGTGTGCCATTTTAGTGGTCGCAGGAGATGCACCCTGACCCTCAACCGGGCTGATTTATCCAGAGTCAACATGACGTGCTTTTTCATGGGCAGTTCCGCTTTGTAATTCAGCTTTTGGAATTGTAGTCGAATCGATCCGTACAGTAAACTTTGCAGATAATCGTGCTTTCAACGAGCGAGGGGAAGCTCCCAAGAAATCAACCAGGTTTTCTCAGGCGTCGACTTGACGAAACTCGGTTTGTCGAGTTTGGAAGGAAGCTCCAAACTGAATCAACCCATGATTTCGGTCTGCTTTTGAGCGATTGATTCACAAAACCCTTGCTGGGCTGGGCTCTTTTAACGGACCTGTCGGTGTTCCTCTTGGTTTGCCTTTAAATCCACAAAGGGGTACCCTCGATCACAGACCCAGAGTTCTTTGGGAGCCAATCAAACACCAACTTGCTTCTTTCTGGATCTACGGTTCACCGCAAACGCCCAAATTTTGTCAAGGCTTTTTTCTAGGGAGGTCCTTTCGTCCTTTCTGGTGTATTCCCCAAACCCTTGATGATTTCAAACTACCCATCAAAATTGAACCGTTTGGAAGACCCATCAAAACCTGACCAACCCCACTCAACAACTCTTAAACCCCCTTCAAGCCTTCCCAAAACCATGCCTCAGTTGTTTCGTGGCACCCTTTTCCCCTTTGGTGGCTGCCCCACTAAATATGGTCTTCCCCAAAAAGGGTTCCCTTTTATCCCAAGATCACTGAACAACTGAGATGCAGCTTCATCCCTTTGACCTGCAAGCCCTCTGCGACCCGCTGGAACTTCGCCAGGCCTTGGTCCGAGCTCCTCCACTCAGGCCCCGAGCTCGGTCGCTTTGGCTTACCATGACCCAAGGAATATCTGCCCTTTGGTGCATTATGTTAGGACTGAAACACTTTTTGCCAACGAATGGGTGTTCCATTAAACCACTAAACTTTTAGCAGGGGAGCAGAAAGCAACCGAGTACCCTTAACGGCGGGTCCCAGCGAGTCGGCTGCTTCAACTTAGGTTGGTTTTCCGTTTTGTTTGTTTGCTGTACGTTTCCAGATTGAGGCCTTTCCCATGCTGGTGTTTTTGGTTGAGGCTTCCATCCCAAACATGGGCTCCTTCTTTGGAGACAGACCCATGTGATCGACCAAAGCAATTTTTGCCTGGATCGCCAGCCGCGATCTGTTTGGCAACCATCCTGATCGCAACTCGCGGAGAGACGGGCTCCAGTAATACGCTTCAGGAAGTTAGACATAGGTGTGTCCTACAATAGCGTGCCCCGTCGCTGGTTGTTTTTGTTGGTTTCAATGTAAGCGCTGTCTAAAAGCAGTCCGGCATTTTTTGGACATCCCGCCATCCTTCTGTTCAACGGAAGCGTCGTCTGTCGTCAGTTGCCAGGCTGGCCGGTGTTCTTGCTGGCAGCGGCGGCGGCTCGGCGAATTTGGGTTGTTGCGAGGCAAGTCTTGATTTTGACAAGCAACCCCTACATGGTTGTTGTTGGACACATGTTACATTTTTGCTTATTGTGGTTTCGTGGTTGAAATCCAACCACTTTCCTGCTAGAACTTATCTTTTGCTCCCCTTCCAACGTCAACCAAGCCTAGGAGGCGATGAACAGTTTCCCCCGTTTTTGGGCGCGGATTCCTCTTATCCGGCCGGTGAAATTGTGGCGATTTCGGGGACCCCTCTTCGCAAGAAGCTCGAGCCCTGTTCGGGGCTCCATGAAATCAACCCTTTCGGGTCCTAAAACTGTGGTACATAAAAACAAATTGGCTTGTTTTCCGGTCTCCTTTTTCCTAGGTCAACCAGCAATTGGTGCCCTTTCTCACCGGAGGGTTCCCCTACTAAAACAGACTACAGAAAAAAGTTCAGTGGTGTGCTTGAGTTCGGTGGCTTGGTTTCTGGTTTCCTTTTGGTTTTTCCTTGAACCACAAGCCGGCGAGTTCAAAGGTTTGAGCAAGAATGCCACTGGAAATGCCATGGCCTGCGGTTAGACTTGGCGGCTCCAAGGAAATTGGCCGGCTCCTTTGGTTTTGAGTGGGTTTTTTTCGTTGGTGTTGAGTGGTTTTTCGTTGGTCTTCAGCGGCTCTTAGTTGGTTTAGGGGTTTAGGGGTTTAGGGTTTCCATTTAACCCACTGAAAGTTACTGACGTCTTGTAGCTGGCTTTTTTGCAGGGTAATCCTGAACAGGAAAAGGCGTCTGTTTGGTCCAAGACCCCCGCTTTTGAACAACAAACGAACATTGGGCTGGTTGCAAAAAGGGTTGGCAATTCAACCCCAAGGGCTTGTCTTGTCCTCTGAAGCTCCTCCCCTGAAGCAACGCCAAAAGGGGAAACCAGGGTAGGCCAGGTCAACTTGTCAAAGCCGTAAGCCACCAGTGTATCCCGGCTCGACCGGGGTCCCCATATTTCCCCGTCACCTCACCTTCTGGGCCAATTGAAAGTGAGCTAATGGGGTGATGTTTACATTGCCAGACTGAAGCTTGGCCTGTGGCCGGAAGGATGTTCCGTCATTTTCTACTGAGCACCAGCAAGAAAACCCTCAATGTTCCATCATTTTCCCTTCAACCAGTTTTGGGGGGTCCTTTCCGCACAGAGTCCAAGAAACCTGGGGGACCGAATGGGTCAGAACCCATCAGCTGAGGTGGAGATGGAGTTCCGTGACCCGCCGACCCAAAGTCTGCACGCGCAGCGCCTCTACCGCCAGGATTCGATGGCGAGAGCTCGTCGCTCGTAGGTCTCTGAAGGGACAGGTCGGACGGGAAGAGGTGAGCCTCTTTTTGCGGGGAAATGCTTCATGCGGGGACCCAAAGCAAGCCAAGCTCTCAGTGGATGTAATTGCTGGTTCTCAGCAAGAAGTTTGTTTTTTCTTGAAGGGCATCCCTAGGATTATTCCCAACACGCTGGATCATTCCCTACTAAGCACCAACATCAGTCTTGCCCTTTCGGATACGGCACAAGGGAGCCAATCTGTTGCCACCTGCGCCGGTGTGCTTTGCTGTGGGTGTCCTTTCGGGTTTTCCCCAAGCAGCCGTCGTGCTTTTGGTTTCCCTAAAGATGGTTGCAAAACGTGTTTGCATCCCCTCCCCAAACATATCAGAGACAGCAACTTGGCTTTGTTGGTGTTCCTTTAGGTGTTCCTTCTTCCGACCAAGTATGTGTACGTGTCTTTTTGAGTTGGCTTTCTCTTTTTCTCTTTGGTGGGTTTTAAAGGGAAGGCAGGAAGGAACACTGAAGCCATTTGGGGAAGTTCCCTCCAAACAGGCCCCCCCCAAAAAGAAACAAAAAACAATCAAACCTACTAATTTCTACCAGGAAAACCACAAAATTTGGGGAACTCCTCAGACGAAAAGCGACACACACCCACCCGCATTTTCCCCCCAAACCTCCCGATTTTCCAGGAGCCTTCGGAGGGCTGCCGCGAGGACCAGGAGGTCGGGTCCCCACCCGCACCCCCCCCCCCCCAGATGGGTATGAGTCAAAAATTGGGATGTGGCTCAAAAAGCCAAGCGCCAGGGCAAACCGCAGGTTTGAGCCCTTTTTTATAGACTTCAAGGGCCTACTTTGGGTATCGTTTTTTTTGAGCCACGGCCATCAAACCACCAGAATGTGGACCGCAGGTTGAAAAGTCCACTCTTTTTCAGCAGGGCAACCCATTTTGGGTTCCTTTTGCCCTTAGCCGGATGCCTATCATTGGGTTCCCCTTGATTTGAAGGGATACCAAGAGGAGGTTGTTGGAAGAGAGGTGGCTTAGGCATGTTTAACCAGTGGCCCAAGCCTCGCTTGCAGTTCAAAACGGGGATCTGAGAACAAGCAAGTTTGGGGGGGAGGGGGGGGGCGTTGGGCGGACAAACGCCTTTTTGGTAACGGTGAATTAGGAGGGAAGCTCAAGGGGGCGGGGATCTTCATTTTTTTTTCTCGGAGCAGTGCTCTTGGTTGCTCAGTTGGTTCAACCGAACGTTTTGGCCCATGACGAACGCTTTCCCACTAAGGGTGCGGCACCAAACCGAGCGAGCCATCCAGCAAAACCCGGCTAAGTGAAGGTTAGCAAGCCATGCATAAGTCCCTGTGTTTGTGCAGGTGTTCACGCGGAGACAATGTGGGGGTAGAAGTTGATGGTTCGGACGAACAATCCATCAGGGTTCCCAAAATATTTGTCGGGCAAGTCAGTTCCCAGCGAATCGTCCGTCCCCTTAAGGTGTTTAGTTGTGTGTAGTTGATTTGGTGGTTGGGTTTCCGAATTTAACCCCTAAAGGTTATCGCGAGCCCAGTCGAGGGCTCACGATGGGCTGGCGTCGAGATCGTCGAGGGCTCGGTGGCAGAGTTGTTCACGTGAGATCCGAGAGCCCAGGGGTCGAATCGCTCATTGCCCACCTTGGCTGCATCTTTGCTGCAACTCTCGAAATTCGTACTTTCATTGGGTAAGCTTCAGTTTGTTCACAGTCTTTTTCGGCCAAAGAGCAAAGTTTGTTGTAAAGTTATTCGTGTGCTGCTTCAACTTTGTTCTCTCCTTTTGACGCGGGGGCGTTGCGTGACAAATCCGAGGCATTTGTTGCGCAGGGTGGTTTGACTTTGGTTTCCTGAGCAACTGCGATAAGGCTGCGTAACCTGAAAACATACCCATGTCCTTATTTCCTGATCATTTGCAGGGTTGGCGGGGCCTGAGCGTGGTGCCTCCTAGATTTGTTTCTCGGGAGTTTGTTGGTGTCAACAGAATTCAACATGAAGCCAACCCAACCCTCCCTTTGCATGTTTGTTTCGAGTAGATTAAACACAAAAGAAAGCCAATCAGGTACCTGCTGGTTGGTTTGGATTGGTTTGGATTCGGATTTGAAGCCGATTGGTTCTTGTGGATGGGAAACCACTCCCGGAACACCAGTCCAAACCACCAACTTTGAAAGCTGAAGCAAACCATGGGGCTCCATCGAGGTTCCCTCATTCGATCCGGATTCGCGGTAGGTCTTGCACCAAGTCACCATGCTCTACGCAGCAGAAGGCCTGGCCAGCAAAGAAATCGATGGGCAGAAAAGAATGGTATCGAGACCCCTGGTTTCGTCTCCAAGCATCCCATCAGAGAACCTGGCTGAGGGTTCGTGGACCATGGCAAGGTGGACAGGGCAATCTGTCAAAAACCTGAAAGAGGGAAAACCCAACCAACTCAACCAAAAACAAACAACTCAACACCCAGAACCTGGCTGAGGGTCGTGGACCATGGCAAGATGGACAGGGTAATTAATCTTTCAAAAACCTGAAAGAGGGAAAACCCAACCAACTCAACCAAAAACAAACAACTCAACACCCAGAACCTGGCTGAGGGTCGTGGACCAAGGTGGACAGGGCAATCTTTCAAAAACCTGAAAGAGGGAAAACCCAACCAACTCAACCAAAAACAAACAACTCAACACCCAGAACCTGGCTGAGGGTCGTGGACCAAGGTGGACAGGGTAATCTTTCAAAAACCTGAAAGAGGGAAAACCCAACCAACTCAACCAAAAACAAACAACTCAACACCCAGAACCTGGCTGAGGGTCGTGGACCATGGCAAGGTGGACAGGGTAATCTTTCAAAACCTGAAAGAGGGAAAACCCAACCAACTCAACCAACAACAAACAACTCAACACCCAGAACCTGGCTGAAGGTTGTGGACCAAGGTGGACAGGGTAATCTTTCTAGGTGCCTTTCTGGTTGCAGGTGTTGCGCATTTCCGTGCCTTTCAGAGGGCTAGGTGCCTTTCCATGTTGATTTTTGTGAGTTCAATCTGGCCATCTGCCTCACGCACTGGAAAGGAGCGTAGGCCCCTCGCCATTCCCAATGGTTTCCGCTGCCCCGAAACCACTAAAGCCAAAGCACGCGGTATAATTACCCTTGATATCATGGTTGTTTTTGTTGGTTGTATCCCGTTAAACTGCTGCATCCTGCTTTTTGGTTGTATTCCGTTTCTACTCCCAAACCACTAAAGCCCCAAAAACGGGGTTTGTTGGTTGTTGTATATCCCGTTGAACCACTGCAGAGCCCATTTTCGGGAGGTCGCACCGCCCGGATCATGGACCTGCGCCACTTCTTGCGCCAGGAGGCGCGCCCTTCGGGCGGTTCGAGCCGACTGCGTGAAATTTGTTCGTGGTCTTCTTCTGGCTGGTGCGATAGGTAGTGAATGACTCATTCCCTACCTATCGCGCCAGCAAGACAAAGACCACGAACGAATTTCACCACTCAATGAGGGAATGAATTCCTGGGGATAAGGGTCATTCCCTCATCTGAGCACCAGCCAGGTTTCTGAGTTGGGACCGCTTCAACAGGGCACTTTGGCCATTTGGCCATGGGCTTTTCAAAATCCAAATCGGTTAGCCCCCAGTATACATCCCAGTAAACGAAAATAAGGCCTAAAATGGGGGGTGAATTCACCTACCCGCAAATGGGATCCCATTGGTGTTGACCCACGCCAAAGAACCCGGAATCGGCTTCGGGTCGCTTTCGAGCGAGGGCTTTTCGCTGAGCCTTTGCGCCTTCTGGATGGCCAGGACTGGATTTTAGTTGCGCTCCTTCAGGCTTGCGGTCTACCTACGATGCACAAGCTTCCATTTGCTTCAGAATCTATTTCTTTATTTTCTCCGGTTGGTGCGAAAAGGAGTGTATCACTGCTGGAAACATGTTTATTTTGTCCAGGCGGTTTAAGCTCATGGAAGCAAACGCTCTCCTGAGAACGCCACTAGGAAACCATGTTGGCATCCGACAGGAAACTCACACAACTCGGTGCGGAATCGACACGAATCGACCAGATCTGGATTCCTCGACCGGCAGATCCAAAGTCCTCCGATGGCTAGGAATCTGTCGTACCATCATCCCAGGCAGGTGTTTTAGGACTTGCAGGCCAAACCTTCGAAATTCAAGCAGTTTCTTTCTTTACTTGGGCGGTTCCAAGCCGTTCCCTCAGGTTTTGGGGTAGGTTGTTAGGGTTTAGTGGGGGCTTCCCATTTAACCCATAAGTTGTGTTTTTCTTAAAACAAAAAACTTTAACTCATCTACCTGGGTGGGAATGGTTTCCATCTGAAGGTATGACGCGCTTGTTTCCAAGAGTTTGTCGCAGCCCCGATCTGAGGTCGAGGGCAATCCCGACGTCATGGCCGAAGACTCAGCGGCAATCCGGAGAGGTCGAGTCAAATGCAAGTAGGGTCAAAGCAATCTTTCAAGGAAAGCAACCAATCTTTCAAGGAAAACCATACATTGCCAAGGCAATTTGAAGTCAAGGTCAAACCAATAAGGGGAAGGGAAGAGACCCCCAATCTTCAAGGTCAAACCGCCCATTTTTCGAGGAAAGCTACCAATCTTTCAAGTACAGCCACCAATCTTTCAAGGAAAGCCACCAATCTTTCTCAAGGAAAATCACACATTGCCAAGGCAATCCGAACAGAGCTCCTTAAAAGATACATGTTGCCACCATTTGAAACATGTTGGTTTTTGTTCAACACCAAAATAAAGGCAATTTCCTCCATTTACAAGGCAATGTTCAGGTGTACCCTGTTCAACATGTTTCACATCACGTTTTTGTTTTGTTTTTTGCTTGTTTTTTTTGTTTCTGTTTGTTTTTTCTTTTTTTGTGTAGACCTATTTGTTATTTCCCAAATGTTGAGATTCTGATATCATACTTGGAGGTTCCAGGAACCAAAGTATCATGCTGTTTGTTGTTTACCCCGGAGTTGGCCAGAACAAAAAGCAAGGCCGCGCTGCCCAGCTGTACTTTTGTCCACTACAGTGAGGTCCACGTCCTTTCGACATCTTCCGACTTTTTCCGGGAAGAAGCTGTCAGAGTGATACTCTTCATAGGTTGGAGTATGGTCTGTGTATGGTTGGGAACCATTGCCGCTCTCGGAAGGCAGCCCGTCACACCCTCGTGTGGATTCCATGACCCAACGCCCTGGGCTCTGGTTCATTTGGCAACCCCAGAACCGGTTCCTTTGGCAAAAGGGCTCCTGCCAACGGAAGCAGGTTCCTTTCCTTGAAATGGATTGGCTTTTGGGTTCCTGGCCTTGAACTGCGGGGGAGTGTTTCCAAGCACAATGAGAGGGGGGAAATCCCAAAGGACCGAGGGGGCGAGACCCATCTGAAGTGTTTATGATATTCGTGAAAACTAGAAAGGACCAACCAGTATCGGCTTTTGTGGAATCTCATGAACACTAGAAAAGGATGGATCCCCAACCAACCAGTATCGGCTTTTGTGGAATCCTTGGCCGAGATTCATTCCCCCCAAAAGGTGCACCGCTCTTTTTTTCCTTCCTCGAGCCTAAAACGGCTTATGTCGAAGCATCATGTCTGGATGTCTGGGGCATGAAGCACCATCTTCCGAAAGCTGGGAACGTGAGGTTTTCTTTTGGCGGGTTCCTGAGGGTTCCCAAGCCTTGCGCCTTGCACCCGCTGGGGCGATCCCATCGCAAGGCGGGGCCCGAGTTCCTCCTGGCGCGGTCGGCCCAGAGGGAAAGTGGGAGTTGGGTTGGCCCCAATTTGCCTTCCTTGTGCAGGGTGTCCATGGTCTCACCCAGTCTGGTTTCACCCATTTTCCCCCAACCTGGTTTTGATGAAGCTCAGTTCCTGGTCTTTAAACGTTTTGGGAAGACCATTTCAGTGGCAAATAAGTCCTGCCTGTCTTCTGGGCAATCCACTCAAGTGAGACATCTTTTCGGATGGGTTTGTGGATTGCAACTGCACAGGTTTTTCAAACAAAACCCATGAAGTGTTTTTCATTAAGAAGCCGACGGGGCCCGGATTCCCCCAACATTGTTTGCTTTCCGGAAAGATATTCATAGTCACTAGTCTTGCAACCCATATCTCGTATCCCCCCGCATTTGTTTTTGGCTCAAGCTCACTTTGTCAGGTTTTGTCTATTTGGACTGGCCAACATGCGTGGTTTGCCTGGTTTGAGCGTTTGTCAACTTCGCGGTAGTTTCACAAAGGGTGCCAGTGGTGCAGTCATTTGCCGAATTCGTTGACAGGAAGTCATGGCCTGAGAGCGATCCCCCTGGCATTTCTCCATTTATCCCCCCTCCCCCCCATTGCGGCACTCCCCCACCCAAAAAACGAAAACAAACACTTGGGAAAAACATTCAAATAGAGAAGAGCCGTTGTGCGTGTAGCTCAAATAACTGTACCAAAATGGCCCCCTTGTGAATGGAACCAAAGACAAAAGCTTGCGTAACCCTAGCTTAATTTTGAGCCACGCCCTTGTGTGTGTGTGTGTGTGGTGTGGTGTGTGTTTTTGAGGATTGGCCCACCTCCAGATGAGCATCTATTCGAATGGGACATCCTCATAAGGCTTAAGCCTCAATATATTAACCTGACCACAAGTAACCAGGGTCCCAGGACGAGTCCTAGGACCGGTCCCAGGACTGGTCCCAGGACCGGTCCTGGGACCGGTCCCGGGACCGGTCCTGGGAATCCACTTTTTGTGCTTTCGGGCGTGTCTCCCAGAGACCAAAATTCATCATGGATTCCAATC